TATATATATATATAATTTAATTGTACACTTCTATCGGATGGTAGACATTATAAATGAAGCAGATTGTGACACTTTTTTGCTATTTTATAAAAAAATTATTAGATAAAAAAAATAAATAATTTTCTTAAAATTAGACTATAAGTCTAGTCTTAAAAATAAGTTCTATAGAAATAATAACAACTTAGTCATATTTATAATATTGTTATAGGTAAAATATGATTGCAGATGTTTAATTGATATATATATGTATATGTACATACATAATGTAATAGTCTTATGACGTATAATTATCTCCAGTGAATATTGCAAGAAAACTAAGCATAATTTAGAAGATTAGATAAATGTATTGCACGTGTCAGTGACGTAGCCAAGGCGGGGTTGTGAAAAAAATATTGCTGCTGTAACCGCAAAAAGAGTGATATTGGGAGAACGGTAGCACACTTCAACTCGCGAAATCTCAGCGGATATTAATATTTATTATTCAAATTTTTTCACTATAATCTTTGACATATTCTGCGACTTGTAGAGCTATTTCGAAATTTTTGAAGCACTTTACAACAAAATTTTACGAATTTTTAATAATATTTTGTCGTTTAGTGAATTTTTTTTCAAACGTCAAAGTTATGTGACAAATTTTTGAATCAAAAATTTCGGGATAATATAATATCTCGGGAGTATATGATCGGGATATTATAAAAACGCGCTTTTATCTCTGAAATTAAATAGTATGCGTAACACGTTAATTATAACATGTTAATGCGCTAACACACACACATAATAAGCGCGTTCTGAATATGACGAGCTATTATATGATCTATGAAAATTGTAAGTGAGATCTTAATCAATATTGTATTGATGGAACATATCAATAAAATTTTTATTTCAGTATTTGTTAAAAAAAATAATTAAATACATTGAAATTATAATAATCATTTAATTCATATTAATGTTTTAATTCATATTAATGAGGCGTATTCGCGGCTTGGAACGTAAACGAGGTTGTTCTCATTTCACTTTTAAAGCCCAGTTTTATAGCTCTTGGTTAACTCTTAACCGAGGTTCAATTTATTCATTATCTCTTTCCAAGAAAAGAGATGAAATACAAGTTGAATCTCGATTAAGAATTAACCGTGAGTTGTGAAATGAGCCTAATAAAATTCAAGGTCCTAATGGAGCCGCGATTTCATCATTATCCTCATTTACGCAGCACGTATGGAAGAGATTTTATGTCCTAATTTCGTTATTAAAAAAATTTACTATTATGAGATTCCAATGTTATAAAAATTCATTAAATACAGTATGTTATGTAATTAAGTTTCGCTTTGTAATTCTGATATAGAAAATACATCAAGTAATATAACATTAAAAGTAAACACAATGATTATTATCTATTTTAAGAATATATAATATATTATAAGATAATTATTAAGAAATATTAAATAGTTAAGAAATCTTACGATTAATTTAATAATGACTCAACAAAGGTTATAGTATTCGTTTTACATGTGTAGACTTACGTGATTTATGAGGGATTATACAGATAAAACTGTACACGATGCATGATTTTCATTTTTATTCTCTTGCATGCTGATCAATGCATGTTACTTTGCTTGATTAACTGTAAACATCATCACATGAAGTGTAATCGTGGTGGCTCTAATTTATACATCTCATATACGCATGATACCAATCAATCACCTGAGTGATTTTTAACGTTTTAATTAGCGTTTGCAAGAAAATGAAATAATGTACCATATCAAACAGAAATCAAGGATAGTATACTTTGCTCAATGCATCAAGGTGTTTAGCACGCATCAAAGCAGGTACAACAGCATGTAAGCCCATTATGCAGGAAATCATGCATCGTGTGCGACCAGCTTAAATATCCGATGGGAGGGATATCACAGATATATATCTGTACATACGGTAACACCGAATGCTTTTAGTCGGTTTACAACGTTCATAAGTGTACCATTTACTTATTTTACTTGTTCAGTGAATATTTATTTGAGAAAATAATCTTCAAGTAGTGAAAACATTTTTCTATTCATTATTTACCAAATCTTCTTCGTTATAATTGACATCGATTTCAAATTTCAACATTCTTTTTTATTAAACAGCATATCTTAATATTTGCAATAAAAAATATAGTACATCTTATATGTATAAGTATGTATATTTAATTTTTTTTATACATAAACAAAATATTCTACTGTTGTTCTATTTGTTTATTATATATATCATTGTTTATAATATTTTACTAAATTAATTGGTGGTCGCGTGTAGTAGTTACATTTTAGCAGGAACTGAATACTGAAATAATATTGCTAGTTATTATATGTGTATATCGGTATCATATATATATCTATTTTTTTTTATAATACCGGTATTCCAAAAAACTTTAATAAATACCGATATTGAAGATCAAATATACAGACTTATAACAGAAATTTTCATAATACCAATATGCACATAATTTTTCAATAATATCAGTAATACGTATAAATTATTGATATTATTATTATTATATGTAAAATATTTTTTAACTTAACAACTTTTACAAAAATTGATTTATGATTGATTACCTCAAATAATGACTTGCAAATATTATTCGTAAGTATATAGGGCATAAAAACTTAAAATCATTAGTTGTGGACTATTCTTTTAAAAAAATTCATATTTTTTTATACAGAACAATATCAAACAATTAATAAAATAATTAATAAAATAAATTAATAAAATAATTAAAATAGGTATGATGAAATAGTTATGATTAATCATAAAGATTAAAAAAATTATAAATTTAAAAGTGGCTTACAAAATATTAGACAAAAAATAAAAGGAGCATTCAGCCACAGACTGTTTTTTGTGAATGTCATATATTTTAAAATTGTACAATACGTTAAAAATATAAACGTTTCGACCATTATCAGGTTATTTTTTATTATTATTATGACTATATATTATCGTTAATTAATAATTTAATTAATAATTGATTTTATTATATAACATACTGAAGATAACCTAATAATATAGCCGTTTATGAGTTTATATATTTTTAACGTACAATTATAAAATATATGACATTCGCAAAAAACATCCTGCTTGTGACTGAATGCTCTTTTTATTGTTTATAAAGATTACATTATGGACGATTTTATTTTATTTTATTATTGTTTTATATATTTTAATTGGAATTAAATAAAATAATGACAATTATCCATAATAAACCCCATGTACTAATTGCGGATCAATTCACCAAATGCTTTATCCTTTTGGGTGGCATTATTATTCCACAAGAATAATACAAATTTTGCACATGCATATCGGTATAAAGAAATTATAATTGATGATTCACATCTAGTTTTAGGATCTAACTGTAGATTATGATGCAATTTTAATATATTCAAGTTTATTTGAAATTAGTACAATTAAAAATCAGTGATAATTAAAATTACAATAAAAATTAATAAAAATTAAACGTTTAATAATAAAAAACAGTTAAATTATAAATAGTAACATTTTTTGCATATAGACATGTATAATATTTTATATTCTATTTTGTATAATATTTTACATTCTGATATAGACATGTATAATATTTTATATTCTATTTTGATATTTAACACAAATAAATCTTTTCGGGATGACATCATTTGTGGCAAGATTTAACAAGTTTTTAAATATTTTTATAATAAATTTACGCAAGGATAAGTATTATAATACAGTGATTAAATAAATACTTGCGATTTATTATACATTTAATCTCAACTGATACATATTATATAACATTAAATTTTTCTATGAAATCTAATGCTATGTTATTTACTATAACAATCATAAGATAATTCTTATAATATTATACTTTGAATAAATTTTTAAAGATACATACATTAGTTAATTAGTTAACATGAATAAAATATGTAGCACTATTCCTAATAAATTAGAATCAATTGACACTTGAAAGGGATAAAACAAATGCTAAAGAATCTTGTGATATGTACCACTTAATGGCTTATTATTATATTATAATAATTTAAAAAATGGCTTATTATTATATTATAATAAATATAAAAAGCGATTTGGAACTATTGCCTGATCCACAGTTTAGTACTTTTATCCTGGCATTGATGACGTTTGAATATATGTATACAAAATTCATTTCACATTCAATAAGAGACATAATCTC